GATGGTTTTGGTGCAGCGACTGTTTCGAAGTCGATTTTGGCGGATGATTGCCTACCGGCGGAACTCCGTTGGCTTGGTTTGCAGAATGTCTGTGATTGTTGTTTTTCAACTGGTGTTAGATCGAAGTTATTCTTGATTGATTTTGGTGAAAATTCAAGTCCGAAGGTGATTTTGAATGAGTTTACTTGTTGGTTCGACGTTGCCTACAGTAATTCTTGGAATGAATTTTCTACTTAGTTAAAATTCGTTCTAATTTTTTTCTAGTTTATTCTTGATTCCAGATTTGGTTTGATAATGTTCTTTGTGTGTGATCTCTTGTTGTTCAAGAAATTGTTGGTGTATGGTTATTTGGATTGTAGAGTTGGATCTCTCTATTATGAAGAACCGATTTCAGGTTTCTTGAAGATTCTTGGAGATAATGTTGCTACTATTGGTTATGCAGCTATTTGGATGGCTTTAATTGGATCTTCCAAGGAAGATAGTTCGAAAAGATGGTATGAGGAAGCTAAAATTATTGAAGTGATTGATCTAATGTTGTTTGGTTCGTATATAGAAGGTTGTTTGGATCCTCATGTAGTTATTTTGATGGCGTTGAGTGGATCTTCCAAGGGAGATAGTTCGGAAAATTGCTATGATAAAGCCAGAGTTATTGAAGTTAGGGTCCTATTGTTGTTTGGTTCGTATATGGAAAGTTGTTTGGATCATCAAAGACGTATTGGAGCTTGCTTTTGGTGGGAACTTATCTCATCAAGGCTTAAGATGGATTCTTCTTTGTTCTTTGAAGAACAAGTCTTATTGATTAAAGACTTGAAGGGTTTGAATTTTACTGGTTTTTCTCTTGCCATTGTGATGTGTGTGGTAATGATTTTCAGTTCATATGGCTTTGGCAATGTTGAGGCCGATTATTGGCCTCTTGAGGTGGGTGTCGGCATTATTGCTTCATCGACTTTGTTTTGTTCATCCATGGTAGTTGTTATTGGATGCATTGAGGTTTCAGCGGATTCAACTCTTGATTGGAGCTTGTTGGCCTCTAAGGATGTTGAAGGCGATCATTTTGATGTTTTGGCGGCTATTTTAGTTGCTCTTTTTCTTATTGTGTTTGTTGTTTTTTTTTTTTTCTTGTAGGATTTTCTGTCTTTTCAGAAATTATTGTAATGAAATGTGGGGTTTTTACTAGGTTTCCTTTTTTATCTTTTGGAAACTCTGGGATACTAACCAACCTTTTAAGTTTTTTTAATATTTGGTATCCCCATCACCACAATGGATTTAAAATGGAATTTAGTATGACGCATATCCATTATGATAGTTTTAAAGGACTTGTTTTTGCCTTCTATGTTGTAATAGTTGTTTCTTCTTTTTAATGCTACTTGCATTTCTTTAAAAAAAAAATAATTATTTTTACTATTAGAATTTTTTTCCTTTTGATAAAAGAAAGACGTTAAATAAACATGAAAATCAAATTTAACCAAACTCTAGTACAGTTAACTAGAAATAAGCATCCAATGTAATATAGTAGGTCACCTGACTTTCTGATTGGTCAGTCTACACAAACTCACATGGTTTTTATGAAGTCAGAACATTGAAAATGCATTCCCTTACTAGTTACCAAATTATTGACGAGAAAATTTTTAAAATAAGCATAATTAAAGTTTGTATTAAGTGATTAAGCATGTCATTAATAAAATTTTAAAGAAAGCAAAGTCGCTTGTTTATTGGGAAACTTTGACCCGAGTCATGTGAGCAATGGCCGATGTGGCATGATGAAAGGGCATGCGTAAGTCGCCCGTTCTGCCTTGTTAAAATTCCCCCCGATCATTCCAGCTTCCTATCATTCATGTGCCATCGAAGTGCGTCCATGTCCTGTCTCGCAGTTCGCGTTTGGCCAACTATTTGGACGCAATGGGTAAGTAGAAATTTTAGTTTTTGGTAATTTTTTGTTTGTTATTTGTTGTGAATGTGTTTAATTCTTTGGAAGAGTTAAAACTTAAGAGAGAAACAGAGTTATAGTAGTTGTAGATTTTTTGTGCTAGATTAGTGGTTGGTTTGGGGAAGATTTTTTGTAATATTTTTGAGATCTAGTTAGGAAGAAATGATTTCATTTAATATTTATAAGATTTGTTTATGATTGTATGTTATATTGACGTTGGGGTTGATACAACAACAATATCAAGCCTTTATCCCACTACGTGGGGTCGGCCACATGAATCATTTTTCTCCATTGTGTCCTATTAAAAGTCAAATTCTCGTTTAAATCTAATAAAGAAAGGTCATTCCTAATATTTTCTAACCAAGTCTTTTTAGGTATGCCTCTATCTTTCTTAACATAAGTCAAATCTAATACCTCTACTCTCCTAAACAGGTCTTCGGATGGCCGCCGTTTTATGTGGCCAAACCATCTAAGGCGACTCTATCTAATCTTATCTTCTACTGGAGCTACTCCAACCTTTTCACGTATATGCTAATTTCGTATCCTATCTCTAAGGGTAAAGCCACTCATCCACCTGAGCATCCTCATCTCTGCCACACTTAACTTTGAAGTTGGGGTTGATGTTGGAACAAAATTTGTAAGCTTTGTGAGTTATGTTAGAAGTATATTTCTTAGATTTTCTTTTTTTATATATCTTTATTTATTATAATGATACAGTTTATCTTATAAAAATGTTGTAATGCATGGGAACAAATGGAGAAAAAATTCTTTTTTTTTTTTTTGTTATTAGATAAAAATTAAGATTAAATATAATTTTCTATAATAGAGTGATGCGTATTTTCGATTTATTTATTGTAGTAATAGTAGGCATTCTAGTTATAAGTTTCAAGTCGAAATAAAAGTCTTAACTAATAATTATGTATATCAACAATGTGATTGCTTGGTTTTTCTTAATGAAACTTAGAAGTTCAATAATGATTGATCGTGGAGTAACCTTCATGCTAATATATGGAGGTGAATTACAAGTGGATGCAAATTTTGTGCCAACGTATTATGGGGGTAGGAATCGTCCCCTGCAAGTGCAAAGAAATATCAACTTATAGCAGCTTAAATTAAGGATTCTTAGAGCACTCAGGTACGTTAAATCGAAGTTTTCTGTCAACTTAGTTTGTCGAATGCTTGTGGGCAATCAGTACATTACTTCACATGTTTAGGATGACGAGGTATGTGAAGTTTTATTATGCCAAGCAGCTGTGAAATTTTTCATCATGTGTTGAAATTGAAGAGATAAGTTTGACACGAGATAATACTAAGCCTCCAAATTCATAAATATGGGAATCTTCGACCCATGGTGAAAGGGTTGAAGTGCTTGATGGTGCTTCAAGGCTAGAACCAAAAAAAAAAAAGCCTATTGACCAGTGAGTTCCCTATAATGTATTTTATTAATTATCCAAAATATTAATTTTTCATTGATTAATAAATCATGAAGAATATTTTGAATGTAGTGATATAGAGAAACAACAGACACATTAAGCTCCTGACCCTTCAACACAATCTATCCCTTATGTTGATTATAGTTACAAGACTATGAGTAGTAGCTTTAGCGAGCAGTGTTCTGATGATGATGATGATTTTTTATCAGAGTTGAATGATGGAGTTACAATTGTTAATAAAGACATTTGTAATGTCATCTAAGATTACTGCTCGAGATCAATCGGCACTGAGGAAGGAATGGAGGCTAATAATAACTATGCCGACACCTGTAGGACTACGCAATAATGGGATCAAGAAGTTGACTTTGAGGATGACTCCGATGAGGTAATAGTAGAGAATTATTTCTCAAATTCTACTGAATTAATTGAAGGAATGTGCTTCACACGAAAGGCTGATTTGCAATTTGCTTTATAAAGATGGTCAATCATAAATAATGTTCAATATGTTGTTATCGCATCAAATAGAAAGAAATTTACGATTGCATGTGCAAAGCGTAATTGCTCAGTGTGTCCAATCCTATGGCAGTTGCATTCTGCTCAAAGTAAACGTTTAGGTGGTATATGAAAAATTTCACCACTCTAATTCATGAAAGTTGCCACCAACAGTGCAATAAGCTTCTAAATACTACCCACAATTAATTTTTAATGATGTCAGCTTTCGATAATGTTAGGTTTTCATGATGTTCGCTTTTGTGAAATATTGTATAAGTTGAAGAATTTTTTCGATCTAACTTAAGCCTGGGGAAGTCTTACACTCATTTATACTCCAATAAAACACTGTTGAGTAAGAGAGCTTAAATTTAAAAATAAAAAATAAAAAATTGGCAAAAAAGTCATGTATACAATGACAAAAATAATAAAGATGATACTGACAAAACTAACTGATAGAACAACACATCTTTACAACTCAAGTCATATATCTTAAATCATACCTGTCACAACTACTGCAGTATCCAATGCCATCAAATAGAAAATTCTTTTATTTTTTTAATTAAAAAAATAAAAAAATCAAAAATAAATAAATTAAAAAAACAAAAAATTAAAAATTAAAAAAATTAAAAAAAAATAATAATAATAATGTTTGTCACCCGTTGAATGAGCGACTTACATAAGTCATAGATTACTTCAGCGACTTATATAAAACTTAATTTTCTTCTGGTAATGGCTAGCTGACCTTTAAATTTTGTTTGAACAGGCTCAAATGCTTAATACAAGTATTAATTGTACTTAGTCGAGAAATTTTCCCATTATTGAACTGGTTTTCACCCCATGGTTTCTTAATTCTGCTAGGATCAGTAATATTGATTCTGTTGGAACCAAAGATTTCGAAATCTGGAATCTGCTGTTATTATAGCGAAGGATATGTGCAAATTCAGTGATCAAAACACGAATCCTGCTTCTGAAATAAAATAACAAAGTTTTTGGAGTACATCTGACACACTAATTGGCAGTAACCAAACTAAAGCATAAAGCCCTAGAACATTCTGCATATCAATGAAAATTCATCAACATAGGAAAATGGAACCAGAAATAGCTAAAATTAACAGAATATCGGAGTTCTTAAGTAAAAAAAATTAAACCTGCTTGCTTCCGTCAGCAAAGAAGCAGGAATAACGGCCTTGGCACTTGACCTCGCGAAGGGTTTTCCAGTTAGGGCTGTGGGTTCCACTGATGGCGTTTTGGAAACTGAGGAGAGAAGAAAAGGAATAGCACCTGGTGGAAAGAGGCGATCGGCGGGGCAGAATCCAGTTTGGCGGTTGCACGTTCAGCACCTCCGTCATTTCCTGCTTTGAGGGTAGGCCTCTCTATCTTGGCTACAAGTGGAGAAAAGAGAACAAATTTGAAGAAGTTATTTTATTAAATGGTATGATATATATATATATTATAATTATAATATATATTAAAAATTTATAATAATTTGATTAAGGCGAGCATAAATAAATGAATTCTTGACTTATTATTAGTTTTATAAATAAGCAAATTCTAACTGTTATGTATCTAATTTTTACTAAATAATATTATAAGAGGATATTATATAGAAAAATAAATGTAAATAAAGGTAAAAAATTAAGTATTTTATTCAAAGGATTGTTTAATGGAAAAATAATAAATAATTAGTGGCACTGTTAGTGTATGACTAGGTCTCATTTTTTTGTGAAATCACATACAACCCATTTTTGAATCCACTCTTCATTTCTCCTTTGCCCCTTCCACTTCCCTTATCTTTTATTTTTATTCCCCTACTCTTCTAAAAATTTATTAATTTCATCAATAGAGTTCAATTATCACCATCATGTTTTTAATTACTTAGATGGTGAGGTTTTTTCTTAATATTATTGTTGAGTGCCAAGCACAATCAATTAAGCAAAAGATTTGTTACGTGTATGGTAAAAAAAGTGTTACTATTAAAGTATAATCAAGTTGTAATGCCAAAATAAAGCAAAGAGATGTAAGCAAGAGAAACCAACTTAAACTCCAAAAAATAAGGATATGTTGAGAGTATTAAGGTCCCATAAAAAACCCTACAATGACTAAGTTCAACTACCATTCAACTACAACTACAAAATCGAAATTAAAGTAGAGTATGTGGTTCATGAAGATTCCTGAAATCATAAGTGATTGCTAGATTGCACTAGAAAAATAATCAAATCAAGAAAGGATTGATTGCACTAAAAGTACCAACCATGAAATGCATAACCAAGTCTTTGCAACAAAACAAAACTAACAACAACAAAGTGCAAAACCAAATCCCAACAATAAAGCAACAAAAAAAGAAAAATTAATAGAAGAAAGGAGGAAGGAACCAAGTTGTCCAATAGAGGAACAACTAGACTGTGGAGAAGAGGAAAACTAGTAAACACCCCCATATAGTCCATGACTGACCACTAGCTTATATGAGTAGGAAATTAAAGAAAATTTGATTGAAATAATTTAAGCAACTAGCCCATTTACCACTTATTCGCCAAAATATTGACCACATTATATTACGAATCATAAATTTTCATCGTAGAAGTTTATAAGCAACCAGAAGCTAGATTTTCATCATAATTTCAAGCACGAAAGTGCTTGAGCTGTCAAACATTCTATCATTTGTTTCCTTCTAGATAGAATAAATAATAATAGAAATATTATTGTATATAATTTCTTCACTATATTATAGTTTAGGTCATTAGAAGTTTGAAGTACTTATTGCACCTTTGGTTCAAATAGAATTTATTACTATTATTATTATTATTATTATTATTATTATTATTATTATTATTATTTACCCACCAGAGTAGGTGCAAGGAAAAAAAAGGTGATTCTAGCTTTCCCAAGCATCATCACATAGCTTCTATTAAGTAGTAAGCCAACAATAGGCCTAAAGCAACTTTGGTTTTAAGTGCTTCTTAGATGGCCATCGAACATTATAATAAATTTTTATTATTGTAGCCTTTGATAAAAATAAAATCCAACCAATCCTTTTTCAACGTGGACTTCTTAATAGCCTAGTTTGAAAAAATTAATATATTATCCCCATCAAATGATATTATGAGTGGGAAATTAGTGTTACAGTCTAAGAGCCCATTCTTATATTTTGATGATTACAAATATTATTGAATATTTATTTTCTTATTATTGCATTATATATTGAATATTTTTTCATATGCGCCACTAACCATTTAAAGTACAGCATAAATTTAGCAAAAGTAAATAATCAAGGCTCAAGATAGTGTAGTGTTAGTGTCTAAGTTTGTTTTGACAAACTCTGTAGTTTTTACTTTTTATAAGTTATTTTTTGTATATTAGGTGTATGCTTGCTAAGCAAACGTGTGCAAACGCACAACAAGGAGGAATAAAATTAAAATTTTATATTTTTTTCTAATCGTGCTGTATAACCTAAATCGTACTACATAATATGATAAAATAAAAATTAATTTAAATGTCTAATTTAATAAGATTAAATTAGATTGGGATATAACAAATTGTGATGTACGACCACTGCATCGTATAGGACGATCTGCTATTTTTAGAAACCCTACCATTGAATCTTGGTTACTTAAAATAGGCAAAATGGAAAATTGAAATGATCCTATAGTACAAACCAGTTCATACTATACGAACATTAGTTAAAATTGCATAACTGAATTCTAAGGATTAAGGAATCAAATTAGATAAAATTATTAAAAATGCTCGAATTGTATGATAATACATAGTATTATACGATTCACACGAGAACTCACTAGATGAGCCGTGGTTCATCTCGAATGATCTATGATTAGATTAAACCAATTATAACAAATCATATTATACAATTTGTGCTTTCGGTTTTAGGTTTGAACTTTTTAATCTCTTAGAAGCTTCCGCATATCAATTTTATTTTTAAGTAAAAGAATTTTTAGAAAGAACCAGTTCACCCCCATTTTGATGTGCCTTTGCACTTTCAAGTGCCCTTAGAGCATATTCAAATAAAGCTTGATAATGTTATAACAATTGCTATTAATGCTTTTTAACTAATTAAGAAACCCCTAACTTCTTAGTATATACACCTAACTAATGCAATTAAACCCTTCTTCCTATTATCTAAGTAATATAAGTGATATAATGCATATCTAATATGAAACATAAAAGAAGTCAGTTTTTTTAAGAATAGTTTAGTAGCATAAGGCTCCTAACACCTATAGGAAAAGTATGTTTAGCCACGTCGCTTAAGCTACCCATTTCTTGCTATGCTCATAGAAAAATAAAGTGTGTATGTTTAGAGGGATAAAAACATAGACCCTAAGATCCTAAGTGATAATCTAAGCAAATCACATGCAATTTAAGATACTTAAGACAAACTAGAAGTTCTAATGTACATAGCGTAAACATGTCAATCACTTAATCACAAATAAAAAATATAAAGTATAATGTAAAGTAAATGTGGCAAGTGTCACTTATATTCAACTTAGGTTCTGCAAAAAAGAAAATTGTTAGCAAAGCTTCACATTAATGAAGCCTTGATTTCTACACTTATAATGACATAAGTTATATGCAAAAATGAGATTGTTTATATATAGTCTTCAACCTTTCATGTCCTTCATCAAAGATTATCTTCCCAAAAGGCTTCCAAAAGGCATAATCTTCAATGGACAAGATTTGTTCTTTTGGTTCATTTTTTGTTAGGATAAATAAACAACAAGGGTAGTTCCTCTTAGAGCTAGATTATCTTGGAGATTTTTAAACAACAATGAGTCTTTATTATATAGAGCGTTGGCTCCCTAGTATGGAACAAGATTTGGAAATGCTGGAATCAAGAGAATTTCTTCCTCTTGGAAAATCCTCTGTAATGGAGGTAAAGTGCTGGATCCTTTTTTAAGATGGGAAGTAGCTAATGGGAATTCAATCAATGTATTCAAGGATAAGTGGATACTTGATAGGAGAATTAATGAGTGGCCTACTTTTGTAGTTCCTCAAGATGAAGAAAATAATTTACTGAATAGATTCATTAAAGAAGGAAGCTGGAATGAGGAGAATTTGAAGCATAATTTTGGTGAAGACCTGATAAATCTCATTCTTAATATTAAAATCAATCCTAATCAGGTTGAAGATGTTAGAGAACACATTTTCCAAGACCGAGGGAAGTCTATTTCAGGGATGATCAACGAATTTCAGCAACAGGAAGAGGACTGTGAACCTTTTCTCTGGATAAAAAAGGCTAGAATTAATCCACGGGTGCAGACTTTCATTTGGAGGCTGTTCAAAGGTGCATTACCAACGTTCCAATTTCTTGCTCATAGGAGGTAGCTGGAGAATAATGAGTGTCCAAGATGCTCTGTCGGAATTGAAGATTTGGAACATGTTTTTTGCGGTTGCATTAGAATCAAGGAGGTTATCAGTAATCTGAACAAATGGGGCTTTGAACTGCCGGAGTTCAATAGTTTCCAGGATTACTGCAGGTGGATTCGCAACATCCCAAAGAATGATGGTATGATTCTAAATCTCTTCTTCAATATGGTGTACTTCTCATGGAAGGCTAGGAACAAATTGATTCATGATAACATTAGTGAAAGTGCTACTTCAATTGCTATATATTCAAGCAATTTTCCAATCTTCGTACTCCAATTTGATTTTTAATCAATTTTCGGAATCAAGGGATGTTAATCAGTCTTGTAGACTGTTGAATGCTTGGCATCCCCCTCCACCCGGTTGGTTAAAGATCAATGTAGATGCTTCTCTTTGTTCTTCTTATAAAGCAGGAGTTGGAGGTATTATTAGAGATTACAAAGGAAGATTCTTATTGGCTTTTGGGAATTCTTGTATCCATTGGGACATATACCAATTGGAATTTATAGCCATCAAAACTTTGAAGAATATAATGAAAGATTGGATGTTCAAGTACAAGGGAGCTATTATTGAGAGCGACAACTACAATGTCATAAAGGTGATTCAGAAGGCTAAGGCTCACGGCTTCAAGTATTCAGATGAGTTAAATTTTTTCAAAGAATTTAATTATGTTATTTTTAAATATATTGATAGAGAAGGAAATAAGCTAGCTGACTTGTGTGCTAGCTATGGTCTTCTTAGTAGTTTTATTTGGGAAGATATTTCTTTCGACATGATTCCTCCTTCATTTGTTCAAATAACGAAGGAGGAATCTTCTTTGTAGTTCTTTTTTATTTTTCTTTGCCTTTAATGCATTCTTGCTAATTAAAAAAATAAATAAATTCTTTTGAATTTCATAACTTTAATTAAATTTATAAATTACATTTATTTAAATGAAAAGTCTCCATACTTTTATAACAGCTAGTATAAAATAGTTTGTGTATCACATCAATCACAACACAATTCATTACAAAGTGTTATAAATCACTTGCTCATTTCTG